CTGCTGAACTCAGGAGGATGAGATTGTGGACAAAGCTGATGTTTCTGTTTTCATAATCATCACTGAGAATTTTAATTTCCGTGTTTTGTCTTACGACATTTGTCTTAGCTGCTGCTTAAACTTAAGTCACCCTAATTAGTTTGTTAAGTCACCCTAATTAGTTTGCTTCAGATCATATTGTCTGATTGTACTCTAAGTAGCAAGTGCATGGCTTTTTTTTTTTTTTTTTTTTTTAATGAATGAGACTATTTTAGTCCCTCATGCTGCTGAAGCAATAGTTAAATTAAGGATGGACTGGATGATGAAACAACACTAGCATCAAATTAATGTGCCTTACCAAGTGCTCAGTTGGCTGAACTGGAGACATTATAAGATAGTATTACAAATGCAGCCTTGCTCCGTTATGGACAAACTTCTCTTAAAATAGGCAAATATCAAATGGACCTTCCGGAGACCCAAGTGAATTTGTTTATTTGCGCTGTTCTCCTTAGGTGAAATGGAAACTGAAAGTCAGCCAAAGAGACTTTTTCAAGGAACAACCAACATGCTTTCTCCAGATGTTACACATCTGACAGATCTCAGTTCATGGTAAAATATTTTATATGCTCTGAAATGCCAAAACGGAGAATGTTGAGCTGTCACAAGCTTTCTTGTTTTTCCAGAAATAATTTTTGTGCATAGCTTGCATGTATGCTTTACTAGGAATTACTGTTGTGATAATGTAGTGTAACAATGTTCCTGTCTGTTTGTTCAATTCTTCCTGAGCCGACTCTAGCCTAGATTTTGTGTCAGAACTTGCATACTGAATATAATTGGCTTATAAGCAAAGTTGCTTTGCGTGATAGATGTCTCGTTATTTCAGTGTGTTGTAGGTAGTGGTCATATAGTATCTGTGGCACCTACCTGACTATTGAGAAAACGTGTTATCCTATGTGACTGCATCAACCATTCACATAGTTCTTATTTAAGATTTTTAGTGTTACAGGCTGTCTCCTTTTTGCAAATCATAAAAAGCTGACTACTACTTTGTGACAAAAGAAGTCAGATAAAGTATTCTAAAATATCAACCCTGCATACCAAAATTTCAGCTAATCTACAGAACTGGAAGCCCCTAGAAAAGTTTCTTCCACCGTGTTGCTTTTGGCTAAATTACATGTCCTCAATGATATACCTCAAGATGTCACAATCCAAACAGATGAATTCTTCGTATACGAAAGAAAGATTTATTTCAGTGTCTTGCTTTGAATAGTGTAATATTAAAGAACAAACTTGCTAATTAACGACACCTCTGCTGCATTGCTGAATAGATTGTTATTCCTTTCCTATAATCTTCTACAGTTTTGTTCTCATTCGTTATCACCTCTTTTTTTATAACTGATTAAAGTTAGAGTCTTAATTTAGCCTGCATGTTAAAAAAAAATCATTCTGCTCCTCGTTCCCTTGAGGAGCATGAACATATATATAACATGCTACAGAAAACAAGGAGTCCTCAGGGCTGCCAGTCTTGCAGTGAAGACTGAGTGGTAGTATATGTCTCCTACAGCTCTTCTACAATGGAGAAAGTGGATCAACTTCGTTAACTTTGTATACAAAGTTTGTTGTTACCAGTTATCACCTCTTTTCTGTAACTGGTTAGAGTCTTAATTTAGTCTGCATGTTAAAAAAAAAAAAATCATTCTGCTCCTCGTTCCCTTGAGGAGCATGAACATATATATATAACATGCTACAGAAAACAAGGAGTCCTCAGGGCTGCCAGTCTTGCAGTGAAGACTGAGTGGTAGTATATGTCTCCTACAGCTCTTCTACAATGGAGAAAGTGGATCAACTTTGTTACCTTTGTGCACGAAATCATAGCGCCCATGTTATTTAATAACCATTTTTCTTTTTCCCCAGCCTGTCTTCAGATATTCTTGATGGGAGTAGCAGCAGTGTTGGCTCTTCGTCTGATTCACTGACTAAAGGCAGCATAACCACAGAGTCTCCAGTAACATGCTCAAACTCATGCTCTTCATTCATTTTGATGGATGATCTCTCACCTAAGTGACTTAATCAGTTCTGAGTCAGTGTTTGGCTGTGCTGTTCCCTTGCTGTACTCCTGTACAGAGAAACGAACTCTGATCCTTGAACCATTAACACAAGGATTAATATTAAATGGAAAAATTATTGTAACTGTAATCCTTGGCAACTTTCCAGTGATTTTGATTTATCCATTTAATGGACATGTTAGACCATATTAATGTCTGATTTTGCGGATTTATTTTATAAGCAAGATGTCTGCTAAGATTATACTAACTTTTTTGCTTTCAAAAACTTGCATACACTTTTTGATTCCAAGATAGGTGTCTACCTATTAGTGTTGCAATTTTTAGAAAAATACTTCTATCACTATTGTGGTCACTATGTCTAGGGAAATGATGTGATTCAGAAGGATTTGAAAATATTAACTTATTCTCTGGCACTTCTACCATTAGGTAAAGCTATTCTATTTGCTTTTTTTTTTTTCTTCCCTCCCCAATGACTACCCTCAAATTCTCTTGCAGAAGGGGAAAAAAAATGAGATATATATATTTTTTTTTTTCCTAGTGCTACCAGTCATTTCTTTTGATAGAGAAGACCACTATGGGTCTGGAAATCTCACTGTCTTGCATTTTGAAAAAAATAGTGACTGGTACTTTTGCCATCAGTGGAGGAAATAACAATGCTCTATGAACGTGATTAAAATAGCTGCATAGTTCTCTCCCCAGACCCTTCATCCTACAGATGATATGGAATTTGGTCAATTTTCGGAAGCATTTGACCAAGGAAGATTAATCCATGCCTCGATCGAAGACATACAGTGCAAATAACTAAGTTATTGAAACTACTGTGTAGGGGAACATGTATGGCACCATCAATGTCTCCTGTGGCATTGAGGTCATAGGTATTTGTGCCTTAGGGGACATTGTTACAAAATTATGGAATGTAAACGTGAGGGGTGGGTGGGAAAAGTCCTTTGTGTACAGCTTGTTTATAGAGTGCTTACCAGAATCTCTCGTCAGTGCTGCTTTCCTTAGTGTTCCCCTCCAAGGTATGTGCTCCGTTGCAAGGTGCTGTGGGCAGTCCCAACCATGCTGTGAGACGGCAGCCTATATAATACCTTTTGAAGCCGCTGTGTACAGCATTTATGCCTTTGTTTGTCGTGAGCAGGGCAAACAGCTAAAATGAACGTTTGATTTCTAAGGAAAGACTTTGAAGTTTGGATTGCATACTAGCTCTGCAAATTGTTTGACTAAGGAGTTATATTTGAGCTATGAGTAGTCTTGATACAGTACCTTGGTCAGTCTGAGGTAAGACAATAGATATTTTACTTTTTAAAAAGACTTAACGGGGCAAAATAAATCCGTTTGTAATCTACTGTGTTATGCTATTTATTATTTATAACTATGTAAAAAGTCTGTGGTGATGAATTATAGTATTTTTTTATGATTGAATAAGTTTTTTATGTTCAGTAATTGCTGGCTGGTTTGTATTTAATACGCAACATTGTCTGCCAGAATCATAAGCTTCCATTTTTGAATGTTTGTAAGTAACAGAAATGCTTTTGTTATCTAAAAGTACAACTTCTGATCTTTTTTGAAAGAAAATAGCACTGAATTTAAGGAAAGATTATGTGCTTTAAAAGTGGGCACAGTCTCTGGCAATACTGTCTGGCTAAAAAGGGGAGGGGGCGAGCCATAGTGTTTTTTTTTCCTGTTCTGAAAAAACTGTCTAGTTTCCAGAAGACATGTACGTACCATGTTATTTTTTATAAGGTGTTTCCATTAAACTGTAAGAAGTACCATAATGGGCCAACAGTGGCACTTTCATTTGTATTACCATTTTAATCTGTGGAGCGTTAGTTCCCCACCTCAAATAAATGTGCATAATGTAAAAATATTGTCCATTGGTGCCATTTTTAAATGAGCTCTACAGTATTGAATGTTAATTTTATTTGTATCTGCACAGTGCTATTTCTTGAATTTTTGATGTCTTAAATCGCTTTTTTATTCATGCTTGTATTTTCTCTGCCTCCTTGATACTAAAAGAAGGCTGCTTTTACATTTACAAAGTACTGATAAACAGTCTGTGGTAAAATTCGACTTGTTATTTGTGCCCCAGTTCCATTATACTATGCGTTTATTGGTTCTGTGAGTTAAGAAATCTGAACCAGGGTGGCAGAAGGGGGAAGCCTATTGCATGCTTTCTTAAAACTGAGAAGAGCATAGTTACTGCTTATTTTTGGCTGACTTACCTGTACAATTGCTGTATTCCAGATTTGTTTGTCAGTGGAGAGTCTTATATAAGTGCTGGCCTTTGTAAACATTAGAATGTAAACTTCATAAAGCAAACGCACAACTATCACTCTTGTTACAGCATTTTTTTAATGTTTTGGCTAGTCTCCACATTTCAGAAGATATTGCTCTTTTATTAAAAAAAAAATATATATATATACACGCATACACACTGTGTCTGTTTCAGAATTAATGTCATTGTGAAATTATAATAGGTCCCATCTAGGACTGAAATGTTGCACACAGCTGTAAAGACCACTTGTTTAAAACTAGGCATACAAAGTTTTCTAACAGCTGGTGCTTGCACTTAACTGCATGTGAGTTGCTGCTGCTTACAGAATCAATCTTTATTGCGGTCTAAAGGTTAGTACAGCATACTCTGACTAAAAGTTACATCTTTTGGATTTATTAACTGTCTTGGCTGTAGTGAAGTAGATATCAGTTTGGGGAAGGACACCAGCTGCTGCTGGTAGTCAGCTTTAACGGATAACCACAGACCCTTTGCATGCAGTCTCTGGGGGTTTTTTTGTTTGTTTTTTTTTTACTTCACCAGATTTATTTGTACTGAATGGCCATAACGGGTGTCTGAGAATTTCCCACCACCACCACTTTTTTTTTTTTAGTAGTTGGACGTAAGGGGCCACTCAGCGCATACGTATTCCTGAGAAACCCCAGAGACGGCTTACCTTTAGTACAGTAATGATTGAGAAGAAAAACATACTTGCAAATAACCAGTGTAATTCAAGCAGCGTTTTACATAGACTATTTTTAGTATTTTGATTAGTACAGTTATGATGCCAGTTTTTGTATGGCTCATTGACTAGCACTGCCTTTAAATTAAACGGTAAGTATACTGAACCCTCGTTTAGCAAGCTTAAAATGCTGGAAAAATTTTATCAGTGGTTTAGAAAACAAACGTGTACGTCAGCTGTAGAACTCCTTATGTTTTGATAATATCAAGTGTTCTGAATCAGGAAGTGGATCGCAGCGTGCACGTTTCGTCCCACGTCGTTGAATTTCAAATTGGGGATCGTGGGCCTCAAAAAAGCCTGTGTTTAAGGGGTTGTTCTGACTGTATGCGATTAAGTATGTTCTTCTACGAAGAAAGTAATTAAACTGTCAGTGGGTGGGGATGTAAATCCGAGCCCTGCAGACTTCATTGGGAAGCTCAGTCTTGAAATGCACAAGGCAAAAGATAATGTGTATAGAAACAGTGAAGTGGAATTTTTTTTGAAGTCATGATAAAAGTAGAGAGCTCAACATCACTAAATGCTCGGAACTTTTTAAATGTAAGGCTTCAATCTGGCAGATTTATCTGGACAGAACTATGTTGGAGGCTGTATGCAAAGGTTAACTTGATCTCTAGGCAGATTTGGGACTCTCTTACTATGTTTGTGTGCCAGAATTGACTAGTTTGGGGAATTTTTTTTCAGTTGTCCACATTCTTATCTGTAGACCCTGCTAAAATATTGTGTGACGACAAAGATGTGAATTTGTTTTTCCTGGAGCAATTTCATCTGCATATAGGCTTCCTGGTAACTTCATAATAAAAAAGCTTTGCATTAATATTGGTTCAAATATTTCATGAAGTCATAGGACTGTTTCATTTGCTTTTTTGGAGTAAAGGCCAAGAAATATTTCTGCAGCTATACAAACTGCCTCTTGTATTCCAAGGCTATTATATAAATGGCAACAGTCCATAGAAAGTACAGAGAGAGACTTGCCTACCATTCAATGTTTTAGTCTCTCTTCCAATTAATTAAATAATCCATAGCAAAGTTGGTGATTGATGTAAGGTGGGTCATTGAAGGTACCACATGACTCTGAGCAGCTGAAAGACATAGTAACTAGCTCCTTGGAATACAGATTGTAGTGTCAGCCTTGAATGTAGACTTCACTTCTCCAACTAACCTTCTACTCAAAAATGCGTTTTTTGGCACCTGAGAGATCCTCATGAGGGTATGGCCTAAACAGGCTTCTAGGGAAAGACTCGCTGGCAAGTCTAGGGCTGTTTTGCTCAATCCATCCCCAAAAGAAAAAGCCATGTTTGCCAGTCAAAACCTGGAGTCACAGCTGCCTGAGTTTCGTGGCTGTCTTTGGAGAGGGCAGGGAGTTGGTGGCTGGATTTCCTTAAGGACGCCAATTGCCTAATTCCCTGCAAGGACCTTTGTCTTTAGGCTAAAATCAAAAGTGGATGTTGTTTTAGGACAGGTCTGTTTTCTCAAGGAATGAATAGGCTGCAGCGCTGGTTTAAGCATATCAGCCTGGATTTACTTCCTGCTGCAAGTAAAGAGTCTTCACGTAAGTGGGTTATAATGACTGGGGCTGCAGGCTCGTCACTACCATTCCCATAAACGCGACTGCACACAACTTCCACTTTTAACTTGTGTGTATACCTCAAGGCTATCCTTTTATTAGTGCACTGGGCGCTTAACGGAAGTCTCTTGTTTCAGTCCAAACCATTTTGCATTAAAGCTGCTTTTTATTACTTGCTTTTAGATCTTGAAGCCTTTTGTTATGGGGCCTATTGGGCCTTGGTTTAGAGTCTTGACTCCGATTAGCATGCCTGGGCCAATATTTTCTTTTTAAACCTGGGCAAATTTGTTTTGCTCTTAAACTCTGAAGGTTTGGAAATGCAGAGTAGGTGTGTTCTTGTAGTCAGCAAAGAATGCACGCCAGTTTTAGTGATCTTTAAAGACTGTAAAGTTTAAAAAAATGCTGAAAACAGAACAAAGAAACGCCTATTTTTAGCATACAGATTTAGCTGATACTATAGCAGACTTCTTTTCTTAATGTGGGGAATAGTCTTTTGAATAGATCCATAGTAACATAGCAACAAAATCCAATATATCCCCCCCCCCCCCCCACCCCCACATTTTTCCTTGCTGTAAAGTAAGAACTGATTACTGAAGGACCACGAGTTTTGTTCATTTCTAATGCAGAGGGCATGACCTGTTTCAGGTCTCTGAATACCTGTTTGTAGTAATGATCCCCGTGATCCAACAGAGCCATTAATGACACCGAGCTGTCTGGCAAGTTCCTTTCTGTAGCAGTCCAAAAAGCATCACTTTAGACTGTAATAAGGACACCTTTAGTCTCCCTTAGATTGTTTCTGAGGGCCTTGAGAGCTTACCTTTATAGAAACAGAAATAATTACTTCCTGGTAATTACAGAAGTTGACTGTCTTACTATAAGTAATAGATGTGGTAAAACTCCTACCGGACTCCATGGACTCTTGCACATCTCTTATTTTGGGATATAACAAAGTTTGGGGCTTTTGATTATTTTTCAGATAATGCCATGTCTGTCTTCCGGAAGAATTATCCATTGTGTTTTAATTCTGCAAGGCATTTGGATATAGTTTATGCAGAAGTCTGTCTAAAAGTAACTCATATTTAACAACATGAGTCAAATGAGTCTTGGAGACAAGGACAGGCGTTTGTTTTTTCAGCAGTTGGCTATGTTAACTCTTGCATTGCCTGAACGGATGTCCTGCAGTCAGCCCCAGCCTCCGCTACTTGTTAACTTTCCCCAGAGTTAAATGAGTTGGCCAAAGCGCCAGGCTATCGTTTGTATTGGGGCAGTTTATAACTGAGATTATGAAAACCCTATGGGGCTAGAACAAAAAGATTTTCCTTACCCCCAAATAATTTGCAATTTAAATTTGTTGCAAGAACTATAATGGTTTATCAATGCATTGGGTGGTCAACAATTTTTTTTAGTATTAAAAAAAAAATAGGTGCAAATACACGGGTAGGAAAGGGGTGGTATCACAAAGCGCGGGCCAAAGTAGCTAGTCTGGAATCCAAATCTAAATGTTGTATCTAGGCACTGACAAATCACACCGTTTGCTCTGTGAGCTCCTCACACTTGGGGAAAATTCAGCTACAGCCATGAACTCCACAGCTTAGTCTCAACTCTACTTCGGTGTTGATACTTCTACTTAAGATCAGGACCTCTAAGAACTTGGAAGAAAAATAAATGGGAAAGGGAAAACTAGAATAAAAATGCCTCCGTGCCTATGATGTATGAGCATTGGTTTGAAAAATGACACAAAGAACAAAGTATAGTGAGTTGGGACAAACGTGCTTTAAATAAGAGTTGAGGATGTGCTATGTACAGTACGTGTAACATCTTGTTCGTGTGCGAGAACAGGCTGTGAAAGAAACAGCTTTGTTTGTGTGGGAGAAGCAACATCAAAGAGCTTGAAAGAGCTTGTACTGTAATAGGAAACATTTGCCTTTTGAGGACTGTTGTTGCTGCTGGTCACTTTTTTTTTTTCCCTCCCCCGTATTAAAACCCAGCAGCAAGAGCAATGCAAGGCAGCATGGGGAGAGCGGGCCAGGTTACAGCTCGCGGAGCAGGATCAAGTGCACATTTGAAAGAGAGGTGGGGGACAAGGAGGGGTATGGAGGGCAAGCTGGATTTGGGTGTTTGCTTTCACAGCTTCCCCCCACCTCCCCCGGCTGGGATCGCTTCTGCCTTGAAGATGAGAGTCCTGTTTTGTTGGCCAGCTAAAGCAAAGCTGGATGCTCAACTTGCTGTTTCCAGGAGCGTGATTGCCAGCTTCCTTTGAAAGTTGGTGTGTGTCCTAGGTACCGGTGGGCAAAGGTCTTTGCGAGGGAGAGGGGAGATGACAGAGGAACCGAGCATGTTGAGGATGTAGGAGTGGAACAGAGCTGTCCAAAGAGCAGCGCATGGTGGGTGAGCAAGGGACCTGCTGGGACAAGGGACTGTGGAGAGCTTACTAAGCTGGAGGAGAAAGGGGAAGTAGGAAGGAGATGGCACAGCAGGGTGGGAGGCTGGGACACTGCTTGGCATGGAGGAAACGATGGTTCTCCTGTTAAAACCATCATGGTTAGCTTGTTGCCAGTAAGGCGGGTGCTGAGGAAGAGGGGCTGTGGCATAGCTCTGCAGACAGCGAGCCAGCCGTGCAGCAGCCACATCATACAACTTGCACTTATTGGGCTTTATCAGGTATTTTCCAGACAGCATCTACAATTGTGTAGCCTTTCTTTGTAGTAGCAACGAGGAATTTGGTGCATATAGTACTTACCGCGTCAGCACACG